GGAATGCCAACTGTGTGTTAGAAAAGACACTGCCAAGTACAGTATTCTGTTCATGGATGGGACAAGGAAGGTTGTGATGCAAAGGCTGAGCAGGGTGACTGGCCTGGCTGCATTTGGCATAGAGGGACTCACCCTGGTCAGTGGAAAAAGGCATTAAAACATTAGGAGGAAGAATTAAGAGAAGTTAGAATATGATATGAGAGGGAGGAGAAGCTGGGGCAGAGTGGGTCTGGAGAGCCTACAAGAAAGCTGGGGAGGGACTTTTTACAAGGGTGTGTAGTGATAGGGTGAGGGGTAATGGCTTCAAACTGGCAGAGGGGAGATATAGTTTAGATGTACGGAAGACATTCGTCACTGTGAGGGTAGTGAGACACTGGCACAGGTTGCCCAGCAAATCTGTGGATGCTCCATCACTGGAAATGTTCTTCAAGACCAGGCTGGATGGGGCTTTGAGTAACCTGGTCTCGTGAGATGTGTCCCTGCCTGTGACAGGGGGGTTGGAACAAGATGATCTTTAAGGTCCCTTCCAACTGAAATGACTCTTTGATTCTATGAAATAAAGCAGCCCTTGCTTAGATTTGACTCAGCCTTCCAAAACACGTTCTCCAGGTTTAAATGGTGTTAGGGATGAGGGATGGTGGGGAGACAGTCCAGCCTGGGCCTTCTGGCAGTCCTTCACTGTTCTGCTTCCACTGTTGTTTTAATGCCACAGCACAGCAGCTTTAAAGCAGACTCTGTGCCTTGGGGTGGTTGCTTCATGTGTCTTTGTGATTTGGAGAAAAATATCGATTAAAAGAGATAGGATGAGAGAGGATGAGAGGACAAGAGGAAATGGCCTCAAGTTGCACCAGGGGAAGTTTAGGTTCGACACCAGGAATAATTTCTTCTGTGCCAGGGTTGTCCAGGCCTGGCCCAGGCTACCTGGGGCAGTGGTGACTCCCCTTCCCTGGAGGGGTTTCAGAGCCTTGGAGATGTGGTGCTGAGGGACATGGTTTAGTGGTGACCTGGCAGTGTTGTGTTAATGGTTGGACTTGATGATCTTAAAGGTCTCTTCCAACCAAAACAATTCTGTGATTCTCTGTGAAGCTGGAGCAGAGTGGGTCTGGTGAGATAGGAAACCAAGGGTGGAGAAAAACTGGTCTGGAGCAGGAAGAAATAGCAAAGGCTAAGACAAAGAAGCTGACTGCTGAGGACTGAGCAGACAGGCTGAGAGTACAGGCCTGAAGAGATGCCAGGAGATACCTTTGCCCGCCTGCATGCAAATTCAGGTGCCCTGCTGGATACTCTCCCAAATAAAACATATCATGGGAGTGCCCTGTCTCTATCCCAGTCATACATAAGGGTCAGATATTTGGGTTAATCAATTAGCAGCCCAACATGGTACCAGGATTCATTCATTTCCTTCTTTCTGGCCTGTATCTCTGGAGCTAGAATGTCCCAATTCACAGAGAGCCTGAGCTGTGCCCTTTACTTCTTTATTTTATTTTCTCTTGTGCTTCTCTTAAACCATCTCACGCCCTCCTCCTAATTCCCTTTCCCCTCTTTTTTGGACCTCATTTTTACATCAGTCTCCCTGGCGCTGCCAACCGAGCATTCCAAATCCCCCTCTGCTCCAGGACAAAAGCTGCACAGATGTGGGAAGGGCTGGCACTGGGAAAGCTAACGGCACTGTCATCCTGACCCAGCAGGGAGGCGGCTGTTTTACTCCAGGACAAGAGGCAGAGAAAGAAAAGGGGACCAAGGCTCAGAGAGAGAGGACAAAATAACCCCATAGAAATCCGGAAGGGAAATGCATGAGTGAGATTTCTATCAAGGAAAACAGCAGGGGGGGAAATAAAAACAAAAGATAGAAATGTGTGGAGAGGTGGAGGGAGGAAAAAAAGAGAGAGAGAAAGAGAGAGAGCAACTGGGGGGCTAAAGAATGGCAGGATGGGGATGGGGGGGTGGTGGGGGTAGAAGTTCGCATGAAAGGAGCTGAAAAGCATGACGCACTGAGGGGAAGCCCAGCTGAGATCACTCTCTTGCCTTAACATCTCCAATAGACTGTCTGTGCAGAATTATTAACTTTTTTCCTTCTCTCCTTCTGCCCCCTTTCACTCCACCAAAGCCCCTCTTCAGTTTCTCAGGATGACAAGCTGCCTGAGCTGTGGATGGGAGGAGGGAAGGGAAGGAGACGCTCAAAAGCAGCTGCCCTTTGGCTGAGCCCACTACAACATAAAAGAGACACTAAATGACCATATTTCAGAGGCTTTCCAAAATATACAGCACCATGCTGTCTGAAAGGCCTCTGGCCGAAGTACACCCTGCCTTCTCCAATGGATGTGGTTACAGCTACCCATGAGATATCCACAGCTATTAACCCCTGCCAACCCCTTGTCAGTCCTTCAAAGAGCTGGGGAAGAAGGGTTTTTGCTTTAAGCAGTAATGTCAGACATTATCAGCATTTCTAGGTGTTCATCAGTCAAACCCCTCTTTGTTTAGTTACTTGATTGAGGTTGTTACTTGTGGGACAAAACTGGATTTGGGTCCTTACCATCAAAAAGAAAATATTTTAATAATAATATTAAACGTCAAAGAAAGAACTATTTCAAGCTTTTCCCCAGCTCCACAATCTTCATTTTTTACCTGATGTGAAGATTACCAAGGTCTGTTTTTTACTGCTGGTGTCTATTAGCTCAGAATTTCCACTGTAACATAGAGGGTAGTCAGGCTATAGGAGCGTGTCTTTCATCATAACCGTCTAAGCCATGTTGACCTGTAATTTGGTAAACTTACACATTAAGATAGATTATTTTATACCTTGTGAATTTTGTGGAAACTAAGCTGTCTTCTGCTTAGATACCTCAAAAATGTCCACTACCCTAAAACGTTCTGCAAGTCTAGACATACTAACAAATGTCAGGCAACCTCACTCTCCTTCAGTATTGCTTTCTGATGATTATGCAAACTTTGTCCCTGCCGTACATCTGTCACGGTGATATTTGCTTTCCAAAAGCCTTCTTTACAACTCCTGAATTTTGTCAGGATGCAAACCCAAACTCACTGATGGCTCTTCACTGTTGACTTTGCAAAGCTAAGAGTAATAAAAGCATCCTTCTCCTTACCAGAGGGTGCTATCTAATGGAGTAAGGACATTGAGGTTTGAGGTCACAGAAATGTTGAGACTGGGATGCTTTACTGACTGACTGGTTCCACCAGAAGTTCCCACCACAAAATCCTAATGTAAACATCTTTCCTCTCTTCTGTTTAAAGTTAAAATACCCTACATGAACTACAGAATTGTTTGTCTTTTGAGCCTCTAGAGAAGAGAAGACTGGGAGAAGGCAAACCTTGGAATGTCTTGTATGATGGTTATAAATTAGAAGTAGATCAGAACTGCCGGATAAAACACTCCAAGCCAACTTTGATTCCAAATACAGATGATGGTTTAGGAGATCCTTTTTTCTAACAGAGCTTCTTAAACTCTCCATAATCCTGTTTGTGTTAAGCATGTAAACAGTTAACTCTTCTCTGATGAGTACACAGATGCTGTGAGACAGTTGCTGACTGCAGCACTAAACAGATGTAGTTCTGATACCTACTGTGTTTGGCCTTCAGTTTCAAGCTAAGTGTCCCTTAGCCCAGCTACAGACAGATCTTAAAAGGCGACCCTCCTACTGTAAGCAAAAGGCCACTGATTTAAGAAGGCATTCTTGAACAGCAGATAGGTCTGTGTGTCAGCCCTTTCCCCAGAGCAGATAGAAAGAAACTGTTTTGCAGGAGCAGCAGCCAACAAAACTCCTCCTGCAGCAGTAAGCAGCTGTCGTCCTGACACCTACTACACTGGTACTTCAGCTGCTATTCCAGGCTTGTACTAGTCCATTGGTAAGTATCTGGCAATACTGCACAGCAATCTCCTTGTGTGACTCATCTCTGCTTTTTCTAATTTAAGAAGGGTTATTTTCCTCCCCTGAACATCTGAAATCATTCTGATCAAGACTGCACAATAACGACTCAAGGGACATGCATTAATATCCCTTATATGTTTGCAGAAAGCATAAAGCCACCTCCACAAAGGACAGTCACAGCACCACTACACTCGTTTTCTCTCCTTCGTAATCCCACTTCTATAAGCAGGGGGGGAATTCCACACTCTTATATCACGTTCAATTCACCCCACTAGTTTCACACTAGGTAGTTAAAATTCCTGATAATGTGGGTTTTGTCTTGTTTTGTTGTTTTTAAAAGACATTCAGAAGATTTTGCCTGTGTGATTAATAATAGGGTTTCCGTGCTCTGTGCCACAGGGTATTTTGCAGTGGAACTCTTATTAACTATCTCCAGCCATGTATGGGAGACAGACAAACGACAGAGGAAGTATGGCTGGGCAGAGGTAATTGCTAGAAAAGGATATAAGACTCATTTTTATCAAGGGTGTGTATCACCAGAAATGAGAAGCTAGACACAGGCAAAACCTTGGATATTAGTAGCTTTGGATTGAGTCTTATACACTAATTAATGTTGAGAAGATGCCAGATGCCAGAGAACGCAACAGAGAAACAAGGACATTATAAGCTCGTTTGTGACTGAGAAGTGCCCAGGGTAGAAATTAGTTCCATTAATTGCCTGGTGGAAGAAGAGAGGAGCCCCCTGTTAGAGCATTGTCCCATGCACTCTCTGATCCCCAGAGAATGTTAAACAAACAATGCTTTTGGAGAAGCCCAGAGGACGTATGTCTGGAAAGCTGCACAAGCTTCCTGCCATCCTTGGGGATAAAGGAGGGAGAGAGGAACTGAGCTGACATTTGCTCAGCCTTCTGGTTTGTCTTTGTCTAACAGTCCGTAATCCCTCACATTTCTCTATTCACTTCAAAAATTCCCATGAATTCCCCACTCACATCCTTACCAGTTTAAATGATCAGGACCAGTAACTGGGTCAGTCTGTGAGTACATTAAGGGATATGTGCCTGAGAAAAGTTCTGGAGAGGCAGCCATGATAGTTAATTGGCACAGGTCATGTGCACTGTGAGAAGAGACCAGAAGCAGCAAGAAAATTAAGTGAAATTATGTCTGTCTACAGAATTCAGAGGCATGTGACTAATGAGATAATTCAGAGAAGCTGAATAGAAGGTAGAGTTAGCACCGGTAAGGCTTGTTACAACTGGTGAGAAAACTAGCCAATATTTGGATATAAGCCAATTGCACTTAGCTATCCATATGTAGGTATCTATACATAAAAGAATGAAAAATCAAATCAGCCCCCCTCAGTCAGATATTTAGGGCACTGTTCATTTTGTGCCATTTGATACGACTATGGGCAGGCCTTGGGAGGCATTTGGAATGACAAGGATGCTTGCTTGGCCTTCAGCTGCCAGTCCACTATGGGGCTCCTACAGGCCTCGTATCTGAACTCATAGACCTATGCAGATGTCCTGGATATCCAGGGGAAAATGCCATTAGATAGTTATGTTTAGCTAAATGAATGAGGCACACAGGTAACTGTCAGCTGAATCAAATGCTGGGCTGCAATGACTACCTTGACTAGGGTTGTCATTGAGCTAGTTGTGCTGCAAGTTTGCTGCTATTAAACATACCCTCCTCACTTCCATCTGCCACTGAAAGTGGAGAGATCTTCCCAAGTATTTCTACCATACAGGAGCAAATGAATTGAGTTAGAGATCTCTGTTGACAGTACAGGAACTTGAACCCATGGATTACCTGATGCCTATATGTAAACAACTAAACTTAGGAGTCAAGCTCGAGCTAAATCCCACCCCAGTTAATACAAAAGTTAACAGATGGATTATGGCCTCTTCCTTTCCTGAGTGGTGCTTTTTCCTTCTTTCTGCACTACAATTTCTGCAGTAACTTTTGAGCGTTAGCTGACACTTACAAACATAGACTCATTTAGGTTGGAAGTGACCTTTTAAGTCCAATTGAAAACCTAACACTGCCAAGACCACCACTAAAACAATGTCATCAAGTGCCACTTCTACATATCTTTCAAATGTTTCCAGGGATAGTGATTTAACCACTTCCCTGGGCAGCCTGTTCCAATACTTAACAACCTCTTTCAGTGAAGAAATTTTTCCTAATGCCCAGTTTAAACCTTCCCTGATGCAACTTGAGGAGGCTTATTCCCATTACCAGAGCCAGTCTCTGCGTTTAGCACTAGCGTTGCTGAAGAAATAATATAGCTAGTTTTGACATACGTAGGTCAAAATAGCCATTGATGTTTTCAAGAGAGACCAGAGAAGAATTAGAAGAATCCTTAAAGGACTAGAAAAATTTTTGTACAGTGCAGTAGGCTGATCACCGGGATTTTTGCTCTGTGAGCAGGGTACTGACAATATTACTGTACCACTCTCCAGCAACAAGTGAACAGAATTACAGTAGTTCAACAGGCAGAAACTCCTAAATGCCTCAAATATGTACACACATAAATTGCTCCATAGCCTGTGTAAGGTTGCCTGCAATCCCATTACTGACAAAAAGTCAAAAGGAAAAAAGGGAAATGGTGTGATCTCAGCTTATAAATATGAAATGAAGATCATAAATTTTTATCATGTGGTCTTGAATCTAACAAAGACATAATATTGTAAGGTTGGAAGGGAGGTTAGGCAAATCCAGCCTAGAAACAAATGCAGTTTCCTAACCAGTGTGTTAATAAATGCTGAAATAATACCAGTGATTGAATGGGCTCTCCATTGCTGTAAATGTTTTAATGGACATTAGACGCTTTCCACAACATATGCTCTAATTGAAAAACAAATTAGTTCAGAGGATTCCTATGCTACAGGTTCTAACTAGAGCATCACACTGCTTCTGCACAACCACCCAACTGATGCAACTGAGAAAACGTCCATCATCCTCAAAAGCCATCTTTAGTTTTGTTTCTACACTTTCCCCTTATCTAGAGCCAACACCAACATTGGTGACACATTCCTAGCCTCCTCCTCACAAGTGCTGCAGGTGGACATTTTGCTGAGGGTGACCACAGATGCCTGAAGGCACTTCTAACCTCATGATGTGGTTTTACATGACTGACACTTTGATGAAGTACAGCTCTCTGTGGCTTTGCCCACTGTGACTCACCATGTTCTAGTATGTATTTCACCATCTCGCCGTGCCCAGTCTTGGCAGCATGATGCAACAAGGAGCAGTGGTCAGGTCCTTTGATTAACAAATTGGCTCCTTTTTTACAGCATTCTATGAACTAGTGAAAAAATTAAAAAGGCAAAATAAAATCAAAAAACACAGAAGGATAAGATGGGAGAAGCAAAACACCAAACACGCAGGCAAATTATTTGCTAATTTTCATAAGAGTACAGTACAAAAATAGAATAGAATAAAATAAAAATTCACTTCAAAGCCAGATTTTAGGTCCCAATAAAAAAAAAAATAAATATCTCAAACTAGAAGTATTGACAGTTACACAGGTTAAGAAGAGCAGTTTCTATTTCCTAAAGATGAGGTCTTGTTACTCTACTAGTGATGAATAATTTTTTGCTAACAATGCTTGCAAACCACTTCTGATGAAGCTGTTGGGGTATTTTAAAATAAATGTATTTGATAGAAAATTCTAGCTTCTCTTCTGAAAATTCCCATTTTTCCCCAGAACAGGATACAAAAACTTTCTGACTAAACCACAAAACTCCAGCTCAAAAGTCTGCAAGGAAA